GCCAAAGTGCCTTGAGATCCCCTCACCTTTTGGGGGAATGTTTAGGATGGCCATGTGGGATGTTTCACTTTAATGTCTAAGGGAAGATAGCCATGGGAATATATATTTATTCAGCTCTCAGGGCAGTTGATAAAAGAAACATCTTCACACTTGTGTATTGGCTAAAATCTGCATTCTAACTGCATTCTAATGAGAGGGGTCTCTACTGCTTTAATTCTACTTGCATTGCCTAAGGGGATTCAGATGTTGCTTTGAATTCAATGGCTGCCATTCTACTTAATAAAAGGTTCCTTTTGAAATACTCCATTTCAAATACTCCACTTTCTTAAGTTAGGAGAGGAGCCCTTACATAAAGCAACACCTGCAAAACGGTCAACCCGGAGAAGCAATATTTGCTCTACCAAGGGGACCCTGCAAACCATGTCTGAGCACAACAATGAACAAGGGGAAGCTGAATGCTGGAGGGAGATGTCAACCTCCCCCCACCCCAACCAGAGGCCTGCTCCATGCACCCTGTCAGAGAGGATGAAGTGAACCTGAAGGACCCCAAAAACCTCCGCTAGTCAATCAGCATCGGGATGAAAGAGGCTGGGATGGGAGGACCAGAGGAGTCACCCTCACCCATGGTAACTGAAAACCGGGTGGAAATTAGAGTTAGAAGCCCCCTCTGACCAGGAGGAGCTAAATGAAGCATCACTGAGAGGATCGTCTGAAGAGACATGTAACCCAGTTGATGATGGAGATTTTGGAAAATCTCAACATCCGGGGGGAGCCAGAATGGCAACCAAGAAGCATTGGAAGGGCAGCAGCCACTGATGATGCCAGGGGTGCTAACCCTCTCTGGGCTTTGCTGATCAAGCAGATGGCACAACAGCAACAGCAGGGGACCAGCAAACCCTCCTCCCAGTTGGTATGTGGATTGGGGCCCACTCCCAACCAACCCCGAAACCTGTAATTAGAAAGAAAAACTCCTTCCCTTGGGGTGAAGTTTGATGGGAACCCCAAAAAATTGGGATTCTTTGTGGCACATGTGCTCACCTACATGCAAGAATACAGAATTTTCAAACCCAAGGATCCAGAGTGGGAGTGGTTACACTAGCCTTGGAAGGAGTCACTGCCAGATGGATGGTGGCCCTACCTAATGCTGATGTGCCAGAAGCTAAAAGACATCAAGGGAAAATCCCAGGAATATTACAGAAGGTAGCTGAACCTTCAGCACTCTGGAAAGAAATTGCTATGGACTTGTTTGTAGAACTACCAGAAAGTGCAGGGAATACTGTCATTTGGGTCGTAACAGACCTGTTTTCAAAACAGGCACATTTTATACCTTGCCAAACAACCCCAACTGCCACAAGTCTAGCCAAGTTATTCCTGATACACATTTGTTGTCTTCATGGAGCTCCACAGAGAATCATCTCCAACAGAGGGGTCCAATTCACCTCAAAATTTTGGAGGGCATTTTAAACTTTACTTGGCACCACCCAAGGATTGAGCTCATCACATCACGCCCAAACTAATGGGCAAACTGAAAAACGTAACTCAGTCCTAGAACAATATCTAAGATGTTTTATTAATTTTCAACAGGATAACTGGACTGAACTTCTACCTTTTGTGGAAGTAGCATTCAATAACGCTGTACACTCAAGCACAGGTTTCACCCTTTTAGAGTAACAACAGGCCAGGATTTCAGCCCCATGCCTGAACTACCCACAGAAGAACCCACTATCCTTTCACTTAAGGAGTGGATAGACATGTTACAAAACACATGGCCAGTAGTTAGATTAGCTTTAGAGGAAGCTAAAGTGGCTTTTAAAATTCAAGCTGATGAGAAAAGAGTGGAACCCAAAACTTTCCATGTTGGAGCTAGAGTATACTTATCTACAAAATTCCTGAAATCATTGCAGCCATCAAAGAAATTAGGGCCAAATTTCATTGGACCTTTTCCTATCACTAGAGTCGTCAACCCAGTAACAGTAGAACTACTCCTTCCAAATACACTCACGCACATCCACCCACATTTCACATTAGTTTATTCAAACGAGAAGTAATCTCACCACTGCACCTTCACCACCTGTTCCTATCATGATAGAAGGTGAACAATACTTTGAAATTAAGGAAATCCTTGACTCTAGAATCCATAGGGGGGAAACCCGATACTTAGTTGGTTGGAAGCATATATCTGTCCCAAAATGAATGGATAGCTAAACACCATTTTAGGGCCCCTAACTGAGAACATGCCCATTGATCATCTGGCATTCTTAGAGCTTCACTATTGATTAGCTTAGCCTGAGCCTAAGGATAGCAGCTAGCAGAGGTCTTCAAACTTAGCAACTTTAAGACTTGTGGACTTGCATTTCCAGAATTCTCCAGCCAGCAGAGCTGAATTCTGGGAATTGAAGTCCACAAGTCTTAAGGTTGCCAAGTTTGCAGACCTCTGCTCCATGCAGTTGGGATCCCAAAACGGTGACGATTTCTTTCTATCTCCTGTTTTTGCTCCCAAGGGGCTGGTGGGAGGCTTGCTAGGCACCTCCATGTCCTATTTTGGGCCTAGCAGGCCTGTCTAAAGCCTGCTGGGAGCTAAAATGGGTGCAGAAGGCTGCCCCCACCCTATTTTGGGCCTAGCAGGCCTGCCTGAAGCTTGCTGGGAGCCAAAATGGGGCTCATGAGGATCCTGGAAGAGGCGAGTGAAGGAAAGTTGCAAGCCAGGTGAGGATGGCACAGAAAACTCCAGGGGGGGGGNTAGATAGATAGATAGATAGATAGATAGATAGATAGATAGATATAGATATAGATATAGATATAGATATATATAATGTATCATGAAGTGACTAGCATCTTGGTTAATTTTACGGTTTTAACTAGACATTTTTAATGTCTTTTAAGAAAGGCTTTTTTTTCCCCCACAGGGAGTTCTGTTCTGTTTTATATTCCATTCCACTCTCTATTTCTGTTCTATATTCCATTTTATTCCATTCCATTCTAATTCCATTCCATAAGCCGCCAAGATTGTAAGCATCTACATAATGTTACCCTGGGCTGCCAGAATGAAAACAGAATAGAATCCTTCATTGGCCAAGCGTGGTTGAACACACAAGGAATTTCTTTGGTGCATGATTGCAATAAGCAATCAAACCATACTAGGAAACAAATACAATATAAATATTAAGTAAAGATACAAGCAACATGGTTACAGTCTTAAGTGGGAAGAGAGAGGTACTAGGAAGGAAGGAGCAGAAGAGTAATAGTCTTAGTAGATAATATCTTAGTGTTATAGCAATATATTAAAATGCTATAGTGTTATAGCAAAGGTGCCTTTTCAAAATGGAACTGGACTGTTTTTTCCCCCCTAAAAGAATCTCATTTAGCTACAAAATTAACAAAGCCCTAAAAATTCCAGGCAAGTCTCTAGAAAAAAGATCCAAACGGGAAAATATAAATAAAGCAGCTTTTTTTTAATCTTACTTACATAGCTATTTACTCCAAGTAGGGGTTTTTTTTGCCAAATGAGTCTCTAGTTATTCCCACTTAGTAAAAATATATTTGTATATGCTACAACTCTTTTTTTTGAAATTGTGGGTGGCCCTTAAAAGGGCCGTTATGTTGTCTTTTTTTGTGTAGAATTAATTAGCCCCCAAAGCCGTACAAGGTGCGACCTTGGCGTTTCAGCGCGTACACCACGTCCATGGCGGTCACGGTCTTCCTCTTGGCGTGCTCGGTGTAAGTCACGGCATCGCGGATCACGTTCTCGAGAAAAACCTTCAACACGCCACGGGTCTCTTCGTAGATCAAGCCAGAGATTCGCTTCACCCCTCCGCGGCGAGCCAAACGGCGGATAGCCGGCTTCGTGATGCCTTGGATGTTGTCGCGGAGCACCTTCCGATGTCTCTTGGCTCCTCCTTTGCCCAAGCCTTTGCCGCCTTTGCCGCGACCAGACATCTTCGAGACCGGACAGACAAGCAAAAACTAACCTCGATGTGCTGCAAAGGATGGTTTATAAAGAAGGAGGACCGACCAGAAAGAAAACTGAGCCACTAGCTCTTAGCTGGAGTTCGGTAGCCCCATTGTCCAATCAAATGCCGCTTGTTTGAAATGGCTCAATCAAAGCCGAATGTAATTGAATTCTAGCCTGACCGCTACCAGCCAATGGGAGCTCAGCCCTCGAAATTCAAACGTCCTAACGGATGTTTCCTACGCTTCAGCCAATCAGGCTCTGCGAAGTGCCTATAAATACCCTGGAGCGCGGCACCGCAGTTTATTATTTCTAGGGCGTTTACCGAGATGGCTCGTACTAAGCAGACTGCTCGCAAATCCACCGGCGGGAAGGCGCCCCGCAAGCAGCTGGCTACCAAGGCGGCGAGAAAGAGCGCTCCGGCCACCGGCGGCGTGAAGAAGCCTCACCGCTACCGTCCGGGCACCGTCGCCCTGAGGGAGATCCGCCGCTACCAGAAGTCTACCGAGCTGCTCATCCGCAAGCTGCCCTTCCAGCGCCTGGTGCGCGAGATCGCGCAGGATTTCAAGACCGACCTGCGCTTCCAGAGCTCGGCCGTCATGGCTCTGCAGGAGGCCAGCGAGGCCTACCTCGTGGGGCTCTTCGAGGACACCAACCTCTGCGCCATCCACGCCAAGCGNTTTATTTATTTATTTGTCTGGACTAAAAAAACTCAAAACTTGCCTGAAAAATATTCAAACCAGTAAGCTCCAAAGGAGGCTTCCGATTGGAGGGAGTAAAATCATACCGCGCGGCCGAGTGAGTCAAAAAACACGTTCCGATTGGCTGAGAGAACGGCGTTCCTATTGGACGGGCCCAACCACCGGCGCCACGGCCTGCCCAATCAAAAAAGACCACTACAAACCCGAGGAGTAAATAAATAGGCGGCTTGCAGCGCTAGCCTGCCATCATTTCTCCGCGTGCTTTGCAGAGAAAGGAACCTGAGCGAGGATGTCTGGACGCGGCAAGCAAGGTGGCAAAACCCGGGCTAAGGCCAAGACTCGTTCTTCCCGCGCCGGGCTGCAGTTCCCGGTGGGCCGCGTGCATCGGCTGCTCCGGAAGGGCAACTACGCGGAGCGTGTGGGCGCCGGCGCTCCCGTCTACCTGGCCGCCGTGCTGGAGTACCTGACGGCTGAGATCTTGGAGCTGGCGGGCAACGCGGCAAGGGACAACAAGAAGACCCGCATCATCCCGCGTCACTTGCAGCTGGCCATCCGCAACGACGAGGAGCTGAACAAGCTGCTCGGACGGGTCACCATCGCCCAGGGCGGCGTCTTGCCCAACATCCAGGCCGTCCTTCTGCCCAAGAAGACGGAGAGCCACAAAGCCAAGGCTAAATAATTTCCACCTTCTCAGAAGCCCACGAATCCGATCCCATCGCAAAGGCTCTTTTAAGAGCCACCCACAACCTCACAGAAAAAGCTGATTTCTTCCAACTCTCAAGTTTCTGAAGTCAAAATATTGGGCAAAGCAATTAATTGGGCTAACTAGGCTGATAGAAAATCGGAGGTGCTGCCTCTAAATTCAAAAAAGACGCCAAATTAGATCTGGGGCTAAATAGGTTTGCTCCTGAATCAGAATTAAGTGTTTAATACTAACAAAAGTACTAAAACTAATGATTTGGCCAAGGGGGTTGGACTAGAAGATCTCCAGGGTCCCCTTCTCTACCCTTATGAGCCGAGGTGGCGCAGTGGTTAGGGTGCAGGCCACTTCAGCTGACTGTTATCTGCAGTTCAGCAGTTC